GGGGGGGGGGGTGGGGGGGGGGGGGGGCGCCCTCCCCCCCCCGCCAGGGAATGCAGCTGCCCTCCTGCTTCCACAGCTGCAAAGGAAAATGCCGAGCCAGGCTCCATGGACGGATGCAGCCAACTGGAGCCTGCAGGACCCACCAGCAGCCTGTGGCACCAACCTGCCAGCAGAGGAATGAGGGGGGAGAATGCTGCACGTGGCCCCAAGGTGCTGGGCCCTGGGAGTGGAACTGGCACCCAGAGGGGAAGGCCCCTAACCCATCCACACCCACCCCGACCCACCCAGGCCACACTGGAGCTGGTGCGCCATAGGCATGGTCTGGGTTGGAACCAGCCCCCGCAAGAGGCAAAAAGCCCCTTAATCCATCCCACATGGCCCCAGAGCTGCTGGCCAAGCTGCCGCTACGGGGCAAAGGGCCACTGCCCTGTCTCAAGCCCCTTGGCGCTGCCACTGCCCTGAGGTGGCGAACCCCCCTTCAGAGGGGTCTGAGCGCTGCCATGGGCCTGGGCTGCTGTGTCCAAGCAACTGCCTGTTTCCTTCATTGTGTGCACGTGTCCTCTAGGGAAGCGCCTGGCTGCCCCTTCCCCCACCTCCAGAGGTGCTTGAGCTGCCCTGGCCCCCCGGAGAGCACCAAGCACCCCGTGCACCTTGGTTCCTGCCGGCTCTGCCCCTGCCGCCACCCTGCCTCTGCCAGGTGTGGCCCCAGGAGCCTTCCCATCACTGCACAGCTCATCCAGGTGGGTAGCCCCCTCTCCACCATGCAGGGTGACGGCCAAGGCCTGAGTCTCTTTAGGGTGCGGGACGAAAGGCGAAGGGGGCTCCCTGCTCTGAGCTAGGGGGCAGGGACAGAGGTGCTGGGGATACGGAGGTAGCAGAGATGGCGGGAGGATCCCAGGCTATGGGCCTGGCCTGTCGCAGCAAGGAAAGGGAGTGATACCTGCCCACCCGAGGGCTGCTGAGCTGGACAACTCGCCCTGGGCTGTCAGTGCGACAGCTCCGCGGCGCAGCCGGGAGGAGAATGTCACCTTGTCAACCGTGCCACGTAGCCCCAACTGCCTCCTTTGCTGGCTGCTCAGCTCTGACCCTCGGCCTGTCTGCGTGTGACAGGTTGTGATGGCGGCAAGGTGGCACATGCCCCAGGGGGTCTCGTGGCAATCCCAGGACAGCTGCTCCAGCAGGCACCAGGACTCCCCTGGTTCCCACCAGCAGCCTCTGCATCCACCGACCTGCTTGGGTGCGTATTCTGCAGGGCCAGCATCCCTGGGTGCCTCCTGCTCCCAGCAGGTAAAAGGCGCGACTGGAAATCGCATGGGGAGCGACGTCTGCAGAGGAGCATATCCATAGCCGAGGGCCGGGGCTGCCTGAGATGCTCCAGAGCCATCCCACCTTCCCGCCTCTCTCAGGCTACGTCTACACTTCTGGAAAAACTCCGCTGTGTCCAGGGAACGTGTCTGCTCTGCCGACATTTTCTTCAGAAGAGCAGACATGCTCTTTCGGAGCCCTGTAAACCTCGTTCCACGAGGA